CACAGGTGCACTCCTCACTATACACAGGTGCACTCCTCACTCTACACAGGTGCTCTCCTCACTATACACAGGTGCACTCCTCACTATACACAGGTACACTCCTCACTCTATACAGGTGCACTCCTCACTATACACAGGTACACTCCTCACTCTACACAGGTGCTCTCCTCACTATACACAGGTGCCCTCCTCACTATACACAGGTGCACTCTTCACTATACACTGATGGACTCCTCACTATACACAGGTGCTCTCCTCACTCTACACAGGTGCACACCTCACTCCACACAGGTGCCCTGCTCATCTCTCCAAATATCCAGTTCCTCCATCTGGACTCTCTCCTCTCCTATTTGCAGGTCTGACTCCCCACAGGAAGTGACCTAATGAGTTGATGCTCTCCTCACCATGCTGGAGCACAGACTCCCTACAAGTGACGATTCCATAGCATAGCTGCCCCCTCACCTCTCAGGCTCTGAGGTCTCACACCAGACTGCTGCTTGGAAACTCTCTCCTGAATCCAGACACTTTCTCACCAGCATGCTGACATTCCCCTCTCTTCTTGGGCTCCAGTTCTGCTGTCAAGTCAGCCCTCTGCACGGTCACCCAGACCCTGGGCCAGACCATTGCTGCCTCACACCTGACCCTTCCACAGACATGCGACTTGCCCTCCCTACACCATTCTTTATTCAGTAAGTTACTAAATAACTGAGCTACTGCAAGGAGGGAAACCAGATATAATAAACTATAAAGTCCTGTGTGATTGTTGAACCTATAGAGTATTTCCATAGTGATAAATATGCCTATACATTCCTTCACTCCAATCTCAGATGCTCAGGGTGTTTATCCTCTCAGAAAAATATATTTCTAAGTTTTTATATCTCACATACACTACAATAAACCATGCACAATATTCAAGTGGCTTCCAACAAGAAATATTTCTCATTTGCATATGTCCTAAGTGTCGTTATTGGTCACTGTAATTCTGTTCTGCTTCTTTCCACATTTATCTTTAGTAGCTAGGATCATAGAGATTAGTAGTTTCTTGTAAGTTGAACATGTAGCAGCCTCCTGTATTTAGAGAATCAGATTCATTCTCATTCTATGGGCCAGTGAATGTCACCTGAACAAACCAGACAATTGGGGATGAAAGCATACTCTATGTGAAGGAAGATGGGTCAAATGAATTGAAATGGTCCTTCTATAGAGGAGTATGTAAGCACTTAGGAACCAGCATAGCATCTACACCTAACCCCTTTACTGTTTACTCAGGAGATGAGTTGTTATTGGATTTCAAAATGGAACTTTAATCCCATTGGCAGAAAAGAGGTACCATTGCAACTCAAGCATAAAATACTAAAATTTGCTGGAGAGATGGCTTAGTGGTTAAGAGCACTGACTGCTCTTCCAAAGGTCTTGAGTTCAATTCCCAGCAACCACATGGTGGATCACAACCATCTACATTGGGATCTGATGCCCTCTTTTGGCATAAAGTCATACATGCAGATAGAGCACTCATATACATAAAATAAATAAAAAAGACTCAAACTTGTGCTTTACTGATCTCTGATATTGAACTAAATTAATGTCTTATGGGTTTAGTGTTGGGTGTCTGTCATGACAGCATGGGGTCTGTCGGAAAGGAGTGTGGGAGTGCCTGGGACAGTGATGGTGCACATTCTCCTGTTCACCTACATCTGCAGTTATATCATTTACACCTGACCTGTCAAAGAAAGACTTTCTCTGGACTTCTAACCTGGTCATGGGAGGTGACCTCTCTAATTCTTTGGAATTCCTGGAGCTATTGGGAAGTCTGTTTTATCCTGGTAGGCCACAAAGCTTTATGCTGCTCAATTCCTACATAGTTCATGCTAACAGGACAATTCATGTTGGAAGCTCACCATTTCAGAAACATTGACCATGTAATTAAATTGTGAAGCCTTTGAGCCATGAGATGCTCACCCTGGCAGGGAACTGATACTGAAGGCTGAGTTCCTTCTCTTATCAACCAAACACTCACACCTATATATGAACCCTGGTCAATCTCTGAACATCAGAGCTCAGATGAGTGCCTCCTGGTTGGCCTATTCTGCATATTGCGACACATTAACATTCTGGGAAGGAGATGCATCCATGGGGTCCATGGAAGTTCCCTTTATGGGATCTTCCCTGACCTCACCTGAAATGTTCCTCCCTTTAGTTCTGCTTTGTATCTTTCTACATAACAAAACTACAATACTAATAGAACAGAATCGTTAGTTCAGTGTGTCTTCCTAGCAACTTATAAATCTGAAGGTATCATGGGATCCTGGGACTCTGTGGACAGTTGACTTGAAGTAATGGCATCCTTGGGAACTCCTGAACTTGAAGCTTGAGTCTGAAATGAGGACAGTCTTGTGGTGGCATGGCCTGAACTTGTAGAATAATTTAATTAGTAAATGAAATGATTTTGGCCACGATTTACCAGAACAGCCATAAGAAACATTTTGGGGATGGCTGAGGAAATACAGGCAAGATCACACATCATCTGAGAAAAGAGTTGTTAAATTTTCTAAGAGTGATAGTGGTATTGTTTTGTTGTGCAAGGACAATTTCAGATGGTATATACTGAAATATTGACTGAAGTGTTATGTATCAAACTAGCTCTCAAGAGACCTATCAAGTAACATATGCATATACACACATATATATGAAGTTATCAAAATGTCAACAATCATTACTATAGATGGTACTTGTAAGAGTATTGATGAGACCATCCAGTCAATTGTGTTTCAACATGTTCATGATAAGAAATTGAATAGGCCTCCAAGGTGCTAAGCAGCATACAGGCTTCCGTGGGACATGTGGGTCTCTTGGATGTCCATCCACAGGGCAGAGGCTGTCCGCACAAACATGAGACACAAAAAATCACTAGGGGGGACAGTAGAAGGTTGGCTATCATCTTCTTAGACTTGCTGTTGATAAAGGTCACTCAGCCCAGGATCAGCCACCATTACAGGCCCACATCAGCCTCACTGCACCCACAGCACCTGACGCACTGAGGACCAAGATCCTTAAGGTACCTGGCAGTGCAGGTATTGGGGGACAGGATAAAATGCTGATGGAAGGGCACAAACTGCCAGAGAAAATGTGAGTAAGCACTGAGGATCGAAGTGACAATAGGTAACACTGACACCCTGTCTGTCTGAATTTTCTTAAGAAGATCTTAAATGTTCTAACACCACACACACACAAAACAGACAACTATGTTAGTAATAGAGGGTGCTGTTAACCTGATTGTGGTAGCCATTGCCCAATGCATTTACATATCAAGTCAAGACAAAGTAACGTGAAAATATAATTTATTTGTCAATTACACATGAATAAATCCAAAGGCAGAAGAGCAAAGAAAGAGAAAAATGGCTAGAAGGACCACACCATACAATTCTATCATCAAATAAGGTGTTAGGAATCTAAGGATGGACAGAGAAGCTGGTGTGCTACTACATATGCACAAAGGGATCCTGTAGAGTCCCTGGCATATGGGAAAGTCTCATTATATAGAGAGTAAAGGATGAATAAATAAGCATAAGTATATATGTGAACCAGCATTATCATATGTAAAACTGTTGACTGCCTACCCAAATTTCTATGAACATCTCTTCCACAAGAAGTTCTTTCCAGGTGTTTGTGTAATGCTGGATAAAAATTCAATCAGGTTCATGGAGAATGCTTGATTTATAAGTTTTATTCTTCAGAATGCTTGATTTATAAATTTTTTTCTTCATCTGACAAACTGACTTCTCTTTATCACTGCAAGGGATGTCATTCCAGCCCCAACCAGAATCTTGATGATTTATTATAACACATTTTTCTCTGTTATTGTTGGGCTCACCCGGGTGCCAGAACCTGGAAGGGAGGAAAGAGCATCAGGGCATTTCCCACAGTGATGCTGGGAAAGAGAAAACAAGAGTAAGCAGGCATGAAGATGCGATGGGAATTTGTGGAAAGCAGATTCAGGTGTGTACAAATCAACCCGTCTCCACCACCCGTGTCTGACGTGTCCCTGGAAACAGGGCCGCTGCACTCAATATTCTCTTAGCCTGTTACTTAACTGTTCTCCCAGAACACATCCCAGAAGCTACTTCATTCTACTTCATACCTAGGGCTTGGTACCCGGGGATAGTCATTCCATGTGCTTATTTATTGCTTAAGGGTCTCTCATTGTCATGTTTTATTAAAGTGTTTTCCATTTTACAACAGTCTTATTTTAGAGACTGGAAACTACTTAAAATATCTAGATAATCAACTTATTTCTGTCATCTAGGACAAGTAACTTACTATCCTGGACTCCTACCTGTCTCCTCTCAAGACTGAGAATGACAGTAGCATCACTACCTGTTTCTCACAACAGAAATCAGGATAGATTGTGGGAACATACTAAGATATTAGAGTTTTTAATAATTACATTAATACAAAACACAACAATATCAGAATGTGGGTTTTTGATTTAAGAGAAATAATCAGTTATGGTCTTGATATTAATTATTATTATAAGGATATAAATGAGAGCTGGGGAGATGACTCAGAAATTAAAAGTGCTTGTGCTTTTCCAGAAGATGGGAGAGTTCTGTTCCCAGCACACGGATTAGTGCAGTCACACCAACTGTGACCTCAGCTCTGGAGACTCCAACACCCTCTCCTGGGCTCCATGAGCACCACATACACATGGCACATGCTCAAGAGAGACACAGATATACAAACAAATAAAAATAAATTAAATCCTATTGTTAAATATAGAGAGAGACTGAAACATAACGAAACCCACCATGGTGTAGCACCTTGGTTGAGTGCCCTGGGTACTTATCATGCTACACTCTTGAAACTCAGTTTCCTCATCTCTCCTGGAGTATCAGTGACATGTGTCTCACAGGCCTCCTTGATGGGGAAATAGGGATAAAGTAACTTCATCCCCAGCACTCACACCAGGAGTGAGCTGTTTTAGTTTCATAACCAACAACTGGAACACCCTAAAGTCTTCTCATGCTACAGGACCCAGGGACTCCTCTAAGTAACTCTGGACTCACGTGGCACTTTCATTGTATGGTGTCTGATCAACCCAGCGCCACTTTCGGTGACCTGGATCCGAAAGGCCAATATAATAATCAGCATTAAGATCCAGGATCTTGGTGATAAAATCCTAAGAGGAAAGAAAGATACAGCATTCAGCCCGGATGCAGTGATTCCTTTTCTATTACAGAATTTTTTTTTTTTTTTTTTTTTTTTGGTTTTTCGAGACAGGGTTTCTCTGTGTAGCTTTGTGCCTTTCCTGGAACTCACTCGGTAGCCCAGGCTGGCCTCGAACTCACAGAGATCCGCCTGCCTCTGCCTCCCGAGTGCTGGGATTAAAGGCGTGCGCCACCACCGCCCGGCCTATTACAGAATTTTTATATGATATTTTAAAAGTTATTTTAACCATACAAAATAATAGGTCCAATATGGTGCACATATGCAAAATGTAATAATCAAATCCTAGTTCATTTCTCTAGGCCCTTAAATAATTTTCAAATTTTAGATTAATACACAATAATTACACATTTTAGAGGTACACCGTGATACTTTTACTGACGTTTTTCTGGTCACACAGAGATGAGAAGACAAAGAAAGGATCAAGGAATAGAAGAGCCACCCCCACCACCAGGAGTGCCATCTTCTCTGGCTGACCAGGACACAAAGTCATCACTCAGAGACCTGATTTCCATGACACTGGAAACAATCTCTGTCCATGATCATAATGAATTCTCATTTCAGACTCACTCCCCTCTTTTCTTCCCCAGCACCATTCCTGAAAGTTGTGCATGAGAGAATTTAGCAGATTTAAGCATTCTCCATTCACAACCTCAGATATTTCATTTCTGATGGTTGGCTGTGACTCTCCTGATTGGATCCCCTTTCCCTAGTCAGCTCTGCGCCCTCCTCTGTTAGGCAGTGGGTACTACAGGAAGCATTAGAGTGCTGAAATCACAAACTGCTCTTTCAAGCAGAAACATTTCACCTTTCCCTCCACCCTCAGATGTTCCATTTCTGTTGCCATGGATCCTTGTGGGTTGTTCAGCTTCACTGAAGCAGGGACAAGGTGTAGAATGCCAAGGCTGAAGCAACCTTTCTGGCTTCCCGATGGAAAGGCTTCTGCCACATCAGCAACACCCATGTCAACAAAACTCCCTCCTAGTAAAAAGAGGCAGACAGCAGGCCAGGCCCAGGTCCCACTCTCTTCCAGGATGCACCTGCTCTTCCTGGCTGTGGATCACCATCAGATGAGCACCCATGCTGGAGCACTTCTTCTCACTCTCATTCCAAGATGATGAGTCACTCACAATGAAGTAGCAGTGATAATTAAGTGCCTTCCAGTCCTTTGGGCAACAGCTCCAGACTTTGTCTTTGGGGGAAGAATGAAATGTAAGTGAATGTCATAGAGTCATTTTAAATCATGCTTGATATGGAGATCACATGAGCTGGAACTCCACACTTCTCCAGATACCACAAGGAATCCTTGCCCCCTCACAGATACCAAGCAACCCAAGTCTACCTCTGTTTGACACCAATGTCAAGGCTCCTTTGTCCTACTGGGGTGCTGTCATGGAAAGAGAGTGTAAGGGACATTCAGACACTGAGGACATAATGCCAAACTGTCTGGGTATCAAAATAACAGTTTAGTTCTTGGTATAACTCATTATACCAAGAACCAGAAAAATTTTATAACCTTAAATTATATTTCACAATATTATATGTTGTATTTAAAACATACATGTCAATAATCATGCCAGCAAAATTCTGACAGAGATTTTTAAGTTAGTGATGATAAAAATACTTCACAAAAATATTACAAAGATTCTAGATATAAATGTAAACTAGAATGTCTAAGGAAGTAAAAAAATGTGAAAATCCAATGTGTTTAAATACAATTTTTTTAAAATTTTTGAAAGCATCATTTTAATCATTGTATAGTTTTTTTTATTACAACTATATATGGATATATTTTTAACAGATCCATTTTGCCAATTACTCAGGGCATTGCTTTTCTTTACACCCCTATTAAGAATAATAGCAGCAGATCAACTTTGTCTACACTAGTTGTGTCCTGGGAAGAATTTTAGAGAATAAATTGCTGAGTCAAAGGATCAAATATGTTGTAAATATAACTCTTAATATCTGTAATAATGTGTTTTTCCATTTTATAATTGAAAAAATTGATAGAATAATCTTTTTTTACAGCAGAAATAATTTTAATGTGGTGAAGCCGGGCGGTGGTGGCGCACGCCTTTAATCCCAGCACTCGGGAGGCAGAGCCAGGCGGATCTCTGTGAGTTCGAGGCCAG